GGTTAGGATTCACCTCAAGTTGGCGATGCAACCAAAAGGATGTATTGTTTATTTGTTGTTTATTTAATCTCTCGATAGCCGGCTATCGAAAGAACATATTCATTTTGTTTAGTGATCATGAATTTTAAGAGTCATGACGGAGAGCTTGGGATTAAACCCATGATTTTCTGCTCAGTAAGCAAAAACGATCCCTCCAGGGTCATCGAGCATCTCAGAACTATAACGCTTCGCGACAATACAGGACTGCGTTTTCGCTTAATATGCAAATAGTTTCCGAGGTTAATGTTCAATATCAAATATACAAATGATGGTGGCGACTTATTGTGCTGTGGAAGAGCTTGGGGTTAAATCCATGATTTTCTGCTCAGTAAGCAAAATCGATCCCTCCAGGGTCATCGGGCATCTCATAATCCACAGCGTTTTGCGTCAAGGTACGAATATATGGATGAACTATCTATTATTGAATAACTATTATTTACCATAATTACATGAAAGAAATAAAATATAAACTACAAACAAAACGTGACTACTAAATCTCAAAAAGATATTCTCACAAATGTATTTCACGCAACCAGGAATCTCAAAACCATTAGACGCTATAATGATACTCTGCACATGTTAGACACAAAAAGAGGCCAAAAAGCAAGCGTCCGACACACAAAACCCGCCAAATCCACTTGCAGTCACAATCAACGATTCTACGAATCGCGAGCGCTCACGAATCATAAAACCGCTGACTGCGACACTCTGAAAGCGAAATTGATAAGCTCTATGCGTCAAACACCCGCCCTCCAATCCCCTCCCGCATCCATTAACACAAATCTCCATTACAACATCTAACGAATTCAAAACTCTGAAAATCACTCATCTATAGCAAGTGAGTGGAAGCAACCCTGCATGCAACCATTCTTCACTTTTTCTGCCTATCTTTCTATTAGGCCTGTGGACATGCGTTAGCTTCGAAACTTCTAACCAAACTGGGAAAATTTTCAGATCACAAAAAAAAACTTGAAAAAAACTTTCAAAGGTAATTACAAGTAAAATAAATATTGATTCTTTTACGCAAAAACGAGCAAGTAATATTAAACCTCTTGTATCGTATGCTAATGCTAATTGACTGTGACAAAAATAATATGCTTAAAAAATAAAATATTATTAAAATTATGTGCAGTTGCCCTACAGCTGTCTACAGCAGCAGTCGATTTTTTATTTCGTTGTGAACCACACGATAGCCTGTTTTCGAGACTCGCTATTATATAGTTGCTCTTTGTTCGTTGCTAGCAGTTCGGTGCCTTTTGTTGCTACGGTGCAAGATGTGTGAAGTAAAAAACACCATCAAGTTTAGCTTCAGCCATTGTGATGCCAAACCAAACATCGGAGAGATAGTAAATTTCGCCAAAGCACTCGACGCGGATCCGGCTGAAATGGAAGCTGTTTATCGCATTGGTGAGGAAAGGGGAGTCTTCATGAAGTTCAAATCAGAGGAAGCGATGCTCCATGCTCTGACATTCAATTCGGAGGATTTAATCTTCCATTATGCGAATGGAACGACGGCAAAGGTACGCATGTCGCATGCTGGTGAATTCATTCAATATGTGCGTGTGTATGACTTGCCACCAGAGGTACCCGACAACGAGCTGGATAAAGTGCTGGGGAAATATGGGAAAATTAAACGCATCATCCGGGAGAAATTTCCAACTGATCTGTGTTTTGAGGTGTATACAGGGATACGCGGTGTATATATGGATGTGAAGAAGGAAATCCCCACGTCATTACATTTCTTCAATCGCAAAGGAAACATTTTTTATGATGGCAACAAAGACAAATGTTTTCTGTGCAAGGCGGACGGACACCGGAAGCTTTCCTGTCCCAAGCGGAAAGCTCGGAAGGAACCGGAGAAGCAACTGAAGGAAAAAGGAAAGCAAAGTGAAAGAAAACAACACAGCAGCAGTACGTATGCTGGTGTAGTGGTGGAAAGGTGCGTCGTTTGTCATTAGCGATCAGGAAACGGATACGGGGTTGGAGATGTTGAAATGCAGATAACGAAATGGACGTGACTACCCCGACGACCGACGAGAGTAGCGGAGAGCATGCAACGGGAAACGATGTCCAGAAACAGCAGCAGCGATCACGATTCGGGTTCAATGAAAATGAGGAACAAATTCGGGAAAGAAAGAAGTTGCGTGCACGGGAGAAGATCGCTTTGTCGCCGCTTCGATCGCCACCCAGAAAAATGATATGATAAAATATATTTGTACATATTTTTCTTTTGTATTTTGAGTACCATAATTGGTATTCTATGTTACTCGGCTCCGCTAAGTTATTTTTATAACATTTGAGCCTGCCAAATAAACGAAATGAAAAAAAAAAAAAAAAAAAAAAAAAAAAAAAATATGTGCAAAATTTACTAGAAGATCATTATTTTATTGGTGAGAAGTTTCTAATAAGCCCTCCCAGTTCCTCTGTATACAGAACAAATCTGATACTATAATCAGAATTGCTCAGTCTGCATGAAGCAGCCGATTGCATCAAGGAAGTTCTATTAACAACCAAGAATTAATCGTTTGAGGTATACTGAAGCATTAAGAAGGTGATATGTGTCACTATAGGAAATCATCATCGTTGCAAATATAAAGAAATTAAACATAACCCTTTGCTTCAGTACCGTCAACCTCCATGTCCATGGGAAGGTGTGTCAAACAGTGAAGTTGTTATTTTGCATAATTTAAAAATCAAGATGAAAGTGTGTGGGTTCGAAAAAAATATCGCTGTGCTCAGAAAATGAAGCTCTTTCGGATGATGAATAAAAAACAATACATTTTTCAAAATTAAAGAACCCAATTGCAACGATTAAAGCCCTTTATACTTAGAAAAGATTTAGTTTTAGTTTTTAGTTAAGATGTCAATTGTTATACTGACATGCAGGTTTAGAAAACCTGTTTAAAATACTGAATTGCCAAAGCTTAGATATATATTATAACAATTAAGGCTGGCCAGTTACTGTAGTAGCTGCAGCACCTATGTTAAAATTAAATATAATTTATTTTGAATTTGGAACAAATAAAGAGTTAAAAAAAATGCAAAAGTTTCGTGCCAATCGGAGAAGGCCGAGTCTTCAATTTTTATTTTATTTTTTATCCTATTTGGTCTGGAACTAGTCAACAGCAAAAAACACAACAATATTCAAAATTATGATTTGTTTTGACCTACTAAAAAAATAAATTTAAAAAATTGATTCCCGACAACTAAAGGGTGATACGGTCAAATTTTTGGTCAAGGGAAAACGCGTGTAAATCGGTGAAATCGTTTATTTAAAAAATCAAATTAAATTTCTTTTTCAAGTTCAATTAGTATAAAATTCAGGAAAAATATTCAGTTAGGCTTCCGCTTTTCCAAATCCGAATTGCCGGGCCTTACGCTTGACCCCTGCCATCAGATTTTGTACAGACACCTTGTCCACCTTCTTCGCCGCAGAAAGCCAGTTTGCCTTGAACTGCTGCTCGCCCTTAGCAGTTTTTTTGGTCTTCTTTAGGTTCCGCTTGACAATAGCCCAGTATTTCTCAATTGGGCGGAGCTCTGGCGTGTTGGGAGGGTTCTTGTCCTTGGGAACCACCTGCACGTTGTTGGCGGCGTACCACTCCATGGCCTTTTTACCGTAATGGCAAGATGCCAAATCCGGCCAAAACAGTACGGAACAACCGTGTTTCTTCAGGAAAGGCAGCAGACGTTTATTCAAACACTCTTTCACGTAAATTTCTTGGTTGACAGTCCCGGAAGCTATGAAAATGCTGCTTTTCAAGCCACAGGTACAGATGGCTTGCCAAACCAGATATTTCTTTGCGAACTTTGACAGTTTCATGTGCTTGAAAATATCTGCTACCTTTCCCCTTCCTTTTGCCGTATAAAACTCCTGTCCCGGAAGCTGCTTGTAGTCGGCTTTGACGTAGGTTTCGTCGTCCATTACCACGCAGTCAAACTTCGTCAGCATCGTCGTGTACAGCCTCCGGGATCGCGCTTTGGCCGTCGTATTTTGTTTATCATCGCGATTTGGAGTCACTACCTTCTTGTAAGTCGATAGTCCGGCTCGTATTTTGGCTCGATGCACGGTTGTAGACGATACACCCAGCTTATTTGCGGCATCTCGGAGAGAGAGATTAGGGTTTTGCTTGAAACTACCGGCAACTCTCTTTGTCGTCTCAGCGGCTTCCGGTTTTCGATTTCCCCCCGATCCAGACTTCCTGGCTGTCGACAAACGTTCCCCAAACACTTTAATTGCATTTGTAACGGTTGATTTGGCAACTTTTAGCGATTTTGCCAACTTTGCATGCGAGTAGCTCGGATTTTCGCGATGCGCGAGCAAAATTTTGATACGCTGCTCTTCTTGCTTGGACGGCATTTTGACAACTGAAGAGTGAATTCCAAAATCAAAATAGGAGCAACATTCTACACACACACACTTTCAAAATGAGGGGTGTTCAGGTTTTTTAAATACGTCAAGTTGATATTGACCAAATTTTGACCGTATCACCCTTTATCTCACACGTTGTACTATGTAGTAAGTATCCAGTATTTTACGATCGCTTATGGGCGCCACAATCTGGCTGAGTTTCTGGTAGGGAACATAAGATTTGAAGTTTGGCTTGTGTCGTCAAACAACACAACCCAAACGTCAAATCATATGTTCCCTACCAAAAACTCAGTCAGATTGTGGCGGCCATAAGCGCTCGTAAAATGCTGGATATTCGCCTTGACACCAGTCCCGAAGTGACGTTTCTTCACACACATTTTGACAGTTCCTTATGGGGTTTTGTGTTGGAGTGAGAGAATAAGAAAAAGTCCGCCATTTTTCACACCTAGACTAACAGTTACATATGAGATTTCTCCATAGGAGTAAAGAGTTACAGAGCTCTCGTCAACGCCAATACTGCCCATCAACGCATTACAGTCCCATGTGGAAAAAAGAGCAAGAGCATGTAATGGCCCATATTACAATCCAGGCAGTTAACAATCGTTTCCAGAAGATAACGCATTTTTGCCACAACAAAGTCACATAGGACTGTTATGCATTTATGGGCAGTATGTAACAAGAGAGAATCGAACTGACTGGTATTAAGCCAACCAACCTTAATTGAATTACCATTTTAACATATTTATGGTCATGGTCGTGGTTTGGTCGTCGTAGGACTTTTAGAATGACTTATTGTATTTATTAAATTGATCTCCACCAGTGTATTCGATCTTGAAAGTCATCCTATAATGTTTACCAAACTCCACCTTAAATACGTCCCACCACGTGTCTCAACGGTCATTCCTAACTTTCCCATGTTTTCACACCCCTGACCGAAATTACCATGGCAACTGGTAACTCAAACAATGTCCTGAGTGGTATGGAATCACCACCCTCCTGACGAATGATATGTTGTGTGTAACTGAATGCTGGTTGTAGTCAGTGAGATACAGAACTCGACGGCGGCAGTTCCTTCCCAACGCTCCCTGGTACGAATTGTTTTGAAACTATAGTAGTGGCACCTCCTTAAACAGTCAGTGGAAATGTAATGTGTACCCAAGCAAAATGGTTAAACTTTAAATGCATTCAATTGCCTCCCCCTTAGTATCGTCGCTTACTGAAGTCTTGTACTTGTTCGGTTATGCAATAACTATGCATTCTTCATCAGCCCCAATCTGTTTTGTGCAAATCTTGTGAAGAAGTTCAGTTCTCCGTTGCAGCCAATAAACTTTTGCTTCTTTGTCGTCTCGGACTGGTGATTGCTGCAATAACGTAGAAAGTATTGTGCTAGGGCTATGTACTACACATGCACGGCAGACGTGCATGGATTGGGAAATAACAAACTCACTGGCTGCCATTAGGAACCATATATCCGCATAGTAGACCAGCTGCTACTGTGGCCTTGCCGAAATAGGACCACCTCAAGGAAAGGACACGTGTGCAGCGAGAGGACGCCACAGTCGAGCAGAGCCGTCGAGATTGGTCGGTACTTACTGCTGCTTACATGTGTGTGATCGATACCAACGAACCGACGACCATGGCCAATCGAGGCACCAGTCATTGATGCAGACGACGCGGGAACCGGAATCGGTTATGGTAGACAAGAAAATTACCTATCCCAGTCGATTGGAGAAAGTGTGAATCAACATCCAGCGCAGCGGTGGTGGCCTTGACATCGTTTTCCGTGAACGTTTTTGTTAACCCCTAGGGACGGCCCTCTCACCAGCAACCATGGGTCTCTTCGATAAGCTGGCCAACATGTTGAAGATCAAGAAGGAACAGATCAACATCCTGGTTGTCGGGTTGAACAACAGCGGTAAATCGACCATAGTGAACCACTTCAAGAATCCGGACGAACGGGCATCGATCATAGTGCCAACGGTTGGATTCAACGTGGAACGATTTCAGAGTAAGTATACGAGTGACTATGTATGGGTCCTGTTTCCTTGACCAGTATATAATATATGTATCTACATATGTTGTGTGTGCAACTTGTGAACGAACTACATAACCACTTGACTAGAATGTGGTGCTGGGTCGTTTATCACCTTTATGCAATCTGTGTGCGCCGTTCTTGTATGATGCTCAAGGTTTATCGATTTTCACCAAACAAATGACGAGACGTCACGACCTGATGCAGCACGCGATATGTTCGTTTAGGAGGCATGAAACACCAGCTAACGTTCTGTAAAACATGCCAAATCGAGACACGAACACCTGACGCGACGCAAGGGTGCATACTGATTTTCCGAAAATTGCACTCAGCTTGTGCAGGATGGTGTTTTGTCAAGAAGTCATATTTATCCTGAATGAGAATGATTTTGTTTGGGTGAGCTTGCCAGCTGGAGGACAATCAATGGCAGTGATGGACGTAGGGTAGCCACCTAGGTGTATAAGTGATGGTAAGTGTGGCACTACCCGAGCAAAGTCCAGCATCAAAATGACAGCAAATTGAAATCAAGTTTTAATATCAACATCAAACTGAAGTCATAATTTGATTTCAGTTTACGCAATGGACAAATTTTATACCAAATTTTGTTTTCATTTTGCTGTACATTTGCTTTTCAAAAATATTTCGTTGCGGGTTTGTTTTCATTGCATCATTAACATCAAATTGAATACTTGTTTTGTTATCAACAGGAAAAATTGATATCAAATTTAGTTTTCAGTTTGCTTTCACTGCTAGCAGAAATAGTTTTCAATGTGATGTCACAAGAAGATTTGTTTAATCTCAATTTTGATATTTTAACCGTTAAAACGGCCAAAACGACAGCAACCTGAGTAATCGTTATTAGCGAAATCACAAGAGTCCGCATCGTGCTCTCTTGCCGTGCGGATCTATTTGCTTTTTGCTTAAGGAAGTGTTACTACTACCTAAAGCTACAACAAATTTAAACAGCACTTTTCAGTGCTCAACCTGTAAAAATTTTCTACCTTGTTCAACTCCTCTTATTCCTCTTCGATCCTTGTTTGGACCCTACCCGAGGTAATCCTTCTTGGATATCGATTTGGAAAATTCCTCTTCGATCCTTCAGATTCTTATAGTAATCTGCTTGGAAGTCGATTTGGATATAAATTTACTGCCGCCATGGCGCCTAAACGCAAAAGAAAGGGGCAAACTCTTGACCCCCCTTCTGATGAAATTAATTTGAGTAATCAATTTGATTTGCTCACGGATGATGAGAATGATCCATCATCCAAGAAAAATTCTAGTAAACTTTCCCGGCTTAATGCCAAGAAGGAAAAGATTCCCCCTATTGTGATAACCACTTCCGATTTCCATGCTCTTCGCATGGAACTTTTGAATTTCGTGAAAGTTAAGTTTTCACTACAAATTGTACGTCGGGGTGAATGCCGTGTATTGGCTGAAACCTTGGACGGATTTAAATGTCTTCTCAAGTATCTTACTGAGAAGAAGCACAATTTTTTTACTTACGACACCAAAACTGAACGTGTGTTCAAGGTTGTCATGAAAGGACTGCCCAGTGGTGAATCCCTGGATCAGATCAAAGATGAACTGGCAAAATTACTTGGAGTTGTGCCACTCCAAGTAATCAAAATGAAAATGAAATCCCGTCCTGGCGATTCGCGCAACGGGATTTCTAATGATTTTTATTTAGTTCACTTCAAGTCTAGTGAACTAAACAACATTAAGGCCTTAGAAAAAGCAAGCCTTATGCTCCATGTCCGAGTGAAGTGGGAACACTTCAGGAAGACTGGAGGAAATTTCCAAAACCTCACTCAGTGCCGTAAGTGCCAGGGATGGGGTCACGGAACTAAAAATTGCAACATGCCAGCTAAATGCATGAATTGTGGTGATTCCTCTCACGCAAAGGACGACTGTCCTGTGAAGGAAGATCCTAGGAAATTTAAATGTTCAAATTGTGGTGAAAACCACAAATCCAATTTTTGGGAATGTAAGACTCGCAAAGCGATCCTACAATCTCGTTCTAACCGTCAGGTAGGAAACGCTCCACGTTTCCGAACAGGTACAAATTCCTCTGCTGTTAACAACGGTCAGCGAGGAACAAATTCTAGGTACAAATATCACCCCTGCTTCAAATGTTTCATCTGTACCTACTCCCCTCGCTGCTAACAATGTTCAGCGAGTTAATGGAGCTTCCTATGCTGCTATTGCAGCGGGTAGAAATCAAAATACTAACCAACGTTCTAACGGAAATTTTGACAATTTTTACTTAGGAAGCATTACTGCCCCTAAAATGGAATTTTTACAGAATTCATTAATTGACATGATTTCTGATATGCTTAAATCTAACTCCATGTTTGATGCTATTCAAACTGGAGTAAAATTTGCTAATAATATTGTCATGACTTTAAAATTCAGTAATGGATTTTAAAGCATTAAACATTTTAAATTGGAATGCTCGATATCTTAAAGATAATGAAGACGAGCTCTTTAATTTTTTGAGAGTTCATAACGTGCATATTGCCGTTATAACTGAAACGTTCCTTAAACCTGGCCATAAGGTTAAGAAGGACTCAAATTATTTGATTTATAGAAATGATCGTCTTGATGGACCCTGTGGTGGCGTTGCCATCATTATTCATAGACGAATCAAACACAAAATACTTTCTTCATTTGAAACCAAAGTTTTTGAAACTTTGGGAGTTTCTGTTGAAACAAAATTTGGACAACTCACGTTTATAGCTGCCTATTTGCCATTCCAATGCGTAGGCCAGCAAAAGAATTTTCTCAAGGGTGACCTCCAGAAACTTACTCGTCATAGGTCTAAATTCTTCATTATTGGTGATTTTAATGCAAAACACCGCTCATGGAATAATGCTCAAAGCAATTCCAATGGTAATATTCTGTTTAATGATTGTTCTGCAGGTTATTACACTATTCAATATCCAAACAGCCCAACATGCTATTCTTCTGCAGAAATCCCTCAACTATTGATTTGGTCTTAACTGATTCATGTCATCTTTGTAGCCAATTGGTTACCCATGCTGACTTCGGTTCTGATCACCTTCCAGTAACTTTTGAAATATCTCAAGAAATAATTTCTAATCCCAACAGCTCTACTTTCAATTACCATAGGGCTGATTGGGAGCAATATCGAACATTTATAGAATATAACATTCACACAAACATTCCTTTGCAAACCAAAGATGAAATTAATTATGCTCTTGAATCTCTGACTACTTCTATAGTTGAAGCAAGAGCTGCCTCAGTACCAAAATGCGAGGTTAAATTCGATTCAATTATAATAGACGACGATCTTCAGCTCTTGATCCGTCTTAAAAATGTTCGTAGGAGACAATATCAAAGAACACGCGATCCTGCCATGAAGGTTATCTGGCGGGATTTGCAAAAACAAATTAAAAAGCGATTCTCTGCCCTGAGGAACAAAACTTTTGAAAATAATATTTCTAAATTAGACCCGAGTTCCAAACCCTTTTGGAAACTCACAAAAATTTTGAAAAAACCTCAAAAGCCTATTCCAGCGCTTAAAGAAGGTGGTAAAATTTTGATCACAAATTTGGAAAAAGCTCAGAAACTTGCTAAGCAATTCGAGAGTTCCCATAATTTCAGTTTGGGTCTTACTAGTCCTATTGAGAATCAGGTTGCTCGGGATTTTCTGAATATTTTCTCTCGGGAAAATATTTTTGATGATTCCTGGGGGACTGATTTGGACGAAGTAAGGTCTATAACTAAAAATTTTCAAAATATGAAAGCTCCAGGTGATGATGGAATTTTCTATATCCTCATCAAAAAACTCCCAGAGAGTACCTTGTCTTTCTTGGTAAAATTATTTAACAGATGTTTCCATTTGGCATAAATGGAAAAATGCAAAAGTTGTTCCAATTTTGAAGCCGGATAAAAATCCAGCTGAAGCTTCTAGCTACCGCCCAATAAGTTTGCTTTCTTCAATAAGTAAACTTTTTGAAAAAAATAATTTTGAATAGAATGATGCTTCACATCAATACGAACTCAATTTTTGCAGATGAGCAGTTTGGATTTCGCCATGGGCATTCAACTACTCATCAACTCTTAAGAGTTACCAATTTAATTCGTTCAAACAAATCTGAAGGCCACTCAACTGGAGTTGCTCTTCTAGACATAGAAAAAGCATTCGACAGTGTTTGGCATGAAGATTTGATTGCTAAATTGAAAAAGTTTAATTTTCCCCTTTACATTATGAAATTAGTTCAAGATTATTTAACTGACAGAACTCTGCAGGTAAATTATCAAAATTCCAAATCTAATCGACTACCTGTTAGAGCAGGAGTTCCTCAGGGTAGCATTCTTTGGCCTATATTGTATAACATTTTCACTTCGGACCTCCCTGATTTGCCTCAGGGTTGCCACAAATCTTTGTTCGCTGATGACACAGGCATTTCCGCTAAAGGAAGAAGTCTTCGTGTTATTTGCAGCAGACTTCAGAAAAGTTTAGATATTTTCTCTTCTTATTTACTAAAATGGAAGATTTCTCCCAACGCTTCCAAAACTCAACTTATAATATTTCCACATAAGCCCAGGGCTTCCTTTTTGAAACCTAGTAGTAGTCACATAGTCACTATGAACGGAGTTCCAATTTCCTGGTCAAACCAAGTGAAATATCTTGGATTAATACTTGACCATAAATTAACTTTTAAAGATCACATTGAGGGCATTCAAGCCAAATGTAACAAATATATAAAATGTTTGTATCCTCTTATTAACAGGAAATCCAAACTTTGCCTGACGAATAAACTTCTAATATTTAAACAAGTTTTTAGACCGGCCATGCTTTACGCTGTGCCAATATGGTCTAGTTGTTGCACTACCAGGAAAAAAGCACTTCAAAGGATTCAGAACAAAATTTTGAAGATGATTTTGAAGTTGCCTCCCTGGTACAGTACTACCGAAGTACATAGAATTTCGAATGTTGAGACTTTAGCACAAATGTCCAACAAAATAATTAATAATTTCCGGCAAAAATCGTTACAATCCTCAATTGCAACGATTAATTCCCTTTATACTTAGATAAGATTTAGTTTTAGTTTTTTAGTTTTAAGGTATCAATTGTTATACTGACATGCAGGTTTAAAAAACCTGTTTAAAATACTGAATTGCCAAGACAGGAACAATGTAAAAACACTTAGATACATATCATAACAATTAAGGCTGGTAAGTTACTGTAGTAACTGGAGCACCTAGGTTAAAAATGAAATGTAATTTATTTTGAATTTAGAACAAATAAAGAGTTAAAAAAAAAAAAAGCGAAATCACAACATCAAATTTAGATTTCAATTTGATCTCAGACTTTGCTCGGGTATCCCAAACACAAAATAGTACCAGTTATTTATTATTATTTGTATCTTAAACTGGACCACTCCAAAAGTGTTAAAACAGCTGTAAAAGTACGCGACTAGATGGAATCTATTTGGTGTGTTTGGCGGGCTCTACCTCTTTTGGCATAACAGTTTAAGGCCAGCAAAAGAAGGGAAAATACCCATAAAATGATTATTTTGTCTTTCGTTTTATTATGAGCTGTGTTCTTTATATTCCGTTGAAGTACAGCCCAGATGGTAAAATATCTGTGTATAGGTATAAGTAAAGTTTTTCCACATTTCTGCCAAATGTCCATTACGCAAAATGGCATTTATTCCAAATGACCAACATATTAGAATCATTTAGCGCACTTATTTCTTGATTTGTAGTGATGTATGTCAAAGATACCAACTGCTCAGTGGAACAATACCATCGTAGAGCAGAGAACACCCATTTCACTCGGTATAGCGCGTAGTTTATCAACATATCAACCCATACATTATAGATTCAAGAGACCAAAATAAAACTGACATTGACTTATTAACCGGCTTCATCATAAACGCTTCACATGAGCAATCAACCGGCAAACCAGTTCACCCTTCCTCGGTAGATCTGTGCTTCCTAGTAGCCTTGGCAAGCTACCTTCCTACCTACATGAAACCGCATGAAATCGTGCCGTGAGACAACCATTGTAACCAAAGTCGGTTTTTGCTGGAATCCGATTCCTTGCTTGGAATTTGTCGGAGCAATGTAGAATATATATAGTACTCGAAATAAAATATTTTAATTAATTATAATTCACTGCTTATCGAAACTGTGAGCGGAATAAATACGAATAAAATACAATCAATAATCAACTCCTTTCCTGGATTCGCCGACACGTGATCTGCCAACTGGTTTGCCGCCAAGCTCGCTATCTCATATCTACTCGTAGTCGGTGGTAGTGCGCACGTACACATTACCAGAAGGCATCGAAATGCGTTCGATGGTGGGAAACAGCTTATCAGCTTCCGCCTCGGAGACGCTCGGGAGGATCATCACCTTGGTGCCAGGCTGTTGTGACGAAAAAAATAATAGCACAAATTTTCAATTTTCAATAATTCTAGGTGCTGATAAGACAAACGCATTTACCGTCCAATTGGCAGGCGTGGCAATCACTTTCAGACGATCGGTCAACTGCAGTGAATCGATGACTCGCAGAATCTCGCTAGTTGAAATGAGGGGAAGAAGAAATTATATCTTTAGTCGAGACATGTGGGCAGATAATTGAGTCGTGCCTGTGGCTGCGACTGATTAAACTGGATGATTTATTAGTTTGACTTTGGTGGAGCGAGCAACAGATTGTACTTACTCAACGTTCCTGCCAGTGGATGTGGGATAGTGCATCGTCAAACGAACGCGATGATCGGGGCTGAAAATTGGAGTAATAATTTCATTAACTTAGGCTCTGAACCATTTGGCGGATATTTTAACTTTTGGTTAAAATTCAACAGATGGAATGTTATCAATTAACCCTCAAAATGAATTAACCCATCTATCCGAGCGTGGTTATTTCTGACAGACAACAAGTTAAATTTTGACAACCGTGGCTGAGTTCTGCTCGAAAACCGATCGATCGGTAACACAGGGTTTTTCAAACATAAGAAATAACTTTCGAAATGTCACTGTTAACCACGAGTTAAATTTAACTCGGCAAATGGTTCACAGCCTTAGAGAAGGTTATTCATCGAGACATAACCACAAACGTTCGTTTGTGATTATAATATGTTTGACAGAATCAAACCTTTCATATAAATTCCGCAACATAAATATGCATTAAAATAAATTCGACGAAATTTTATTCAAAATAAATTTTAGGGATTAAAAAAAAGGGTTTGATTATAAGCTTAAAAAAGCTTTGAATCTCATGGACTACAAAATTCGTAATTCGAGATCTTGGGAAACTTACCTAGGTTCTAAGACTTATAGCATTTTTCGAGAGGAAAATTCTTCGAGATAAGAAAATAAGACAAATTAAGATTTAAGATTTCGATATTTGAAGAGAAAAGAAAGTAATAAAGCATTTATCCAGAACAATTTTCAATTCGATGCATCAGACTAACTAACATTCGGAGTTATACATAACACCAAGATTTAACTTTAGTTATAATCGAAAGGAATAAACTCGAAACTTGATTGATTGTGTAAGACTGTGCATGAAAAATAGCGGGCTTCGTACTATCAACAATCAATACGAAACTAACGATTTTAAATTGGCTCACTACTTGACTAGCCTATTGGTCCCAAGCAAGTCGTTTAACGTACCCCATTCTAGTCGAAATTCTAGTACTACGCAATGTTTGTTTTGATTCGCTATGAAAGTTTGACAGATAAAATGAGGGGTTAGTGGAATTTCCTATGTTTCGAGGGGTGAATTGATTAGCTTGGGACCGAAGATAGTACCAGAGCTGAGCCAAAAAGGTGAACACGTTTTTTCGGGACCTTCTAGTCTTAGAGTTACCTCTATGGTACTATCCCTTCACTACTCCTCCGAAAATTTATATAAGAAACTGTAAATCTTTGCTAACACACAAGACGATTTTACGACGGTGCCGTCAACGCCAATTCCCATTAGAAATATTCAGAAGATTTTTTATTGAATTGAAAAGTAAAAAAAATCAAACAAAAAGTTTATAAATTAATAAAATTAAAACATTATAGGGAGAAAACCCCTCACCATCCCTTTCCAACAGGGGAGCTTGGTAAAGGAGATGATTAATCCGATTCGTGTCTTCCTCATAGTTGTGCTTTGCTAGCTTTCTACTTTCTATATGCAATTTTCACACTACCGTACGCTAACGGAAATATCAACTCAATACTTTCATCTCCTCATCTATCGTATAAAATATCCACTTTAAGTCTGTTATTTGACGGTAAGCATCTCCAACTATGTACATCGTTAACTTACGCATGAAGTAATAAAAACATTATTAGTCCAAGTTAGTATATTATAGCAGTTAAATGCGTATGTTAACATAATAGATTTTTAAGCATAATTAACGATTATATAATAAATCGTGAATGGATATTTTTTATAGATTTTTTAGTTCGGTTAATATTGCTGATTGCATCTGAAACTGGACAGCCCCAAAAATGTAAAAGGTGTGATAACAGTGCACGATTGCGTCAAAACGTTTTGGTGTCTTCGGAGCACTTATTGATAATAAGATAAGACACAAAGACGATTAGCCGAACTAGCACTTTTATCACCGACAAACCGACATGACACTTAATTCTGATTTATGTCCGAAAGTGCAGTGATCCGAACTGTCAAAACCATAAGATTTTTTGATCTAGATTAAAATACTTTATCCAGAATAGATCAGGCACGAATCAATTCATAACTTTTGCATGCGGGTTCATGACTTAGCTAAATATTTCCCGCGAACACGGATTCAGATGTCAGTAGTGTGCTTTGGTCAGAAATTTTATTGTTTTTGCTATGGTCATTCATGACGGTTTGTCGGTGCTTTTATGAGCCTTTTTAATAAATGAAAACGCGCTTATTTGTAGAATACAATTGGGTTGTTTAACTTCAAAAAAATACCAATTGTTATACATCATCTGATAGAGTTTCGTTTTCTGAGTATAATGATATTTTTATGGATCCCGTAGACATTTATCTCAATTTTTAAATCAAGATTTTTAATCGTTGGCACTTGTAACCAGTAGGTTACAATCCGTGGATTTTCGTCTGTATGAGTTATTGTTGGTTGGGAAAATTCACGTTTTGTCAAACCTAAAACAGTAGACACACACAAGAGCTAGAGGGCTTGTGCCGCTGCCAAAACACATAAAAGATACTGAAGGGAGGAAAATCGTAGCCTTAAGCTAAAAATGGATGCGCCTATGCTGAAAAGAGGATTGGCAAAATTGATTGAAAAGAGCCAATTTAGATATGGAAATTCATGCAGAAGTAAAGCCCCTTTTAGGGGCTTGGGATGAAAGGACTACCTCCGTTCAGGTAAATAGGCTTAAATTATCGCTATCAGCCAATCTGACGGAAATATTACCCTCCAATAGGACCTCTTGTGCTCTTGTGCATCTTGTACACCTCGTGCCGTATTCATAAACGGTCTCATACGGTGCTTCGGAAGTAAAGATGGCTTCCGAGCCTAATTTCAAAAATACCTTTGTCGTCCTCAAATGCCGACTCCCTCAGGCCGCTGGCCTTAATCGTCAAGGAGGATCCCTTCTCGGCTCGACCAATGTGGCCATGTCACGGTCAGCCGATTTCCGCCAAAGAAGGAAGATGCCTACCAGCCAAACGATCCAGCAAACGCAGCCCGCGTCGCTTCCGGCCACACGGTAGTGTAGAAGCAGCCGTGTAGGTCAACGCCAGCGTTGCGACGCCGTAGGAGATCCCGCTGCAGCAGTGAGTACTAAATTTTCTAAACCCTCGCATACACGCTACATATAGAGGAAAAGTTGGCTTCGGCAATACCTTAACCTATTGTCGTCAGGGGGGTAAACAAAGTCCTAGAGCACTCAAATTTAGCTAATAGTTGCTCTGAAACACAATGTATCCACATGCCAAAATTGAGCCCTCAAGGACGTTGTTTACCCCCCTGACGATAATAGGTTAAGGTATTGCCGAAGCCAACTTTTCCCCGATGTGAAAACCCACACCCACACGCCACAGGAAAGAACACAAATGTTAGAAAATGTGAATATTCCTGTTTTTTTCATACTTTAGCCCCTCCGAATACCCAGTAACATGCCGGCCATGCGACACAGTTCAGGGGTATCATGCTACTGAGTTAGTTACCCAGGAGTGTTCGGTCATGCCATAGTCACACACTAAATCAATTCGTTGACAGCTCGCTCCCATACAAAGTCCCACCAAGCGGCGCTAAGATGGTGATTTTTGCTAATATAATCGTTTTTTTTTTTTTAAATAGTTCCAGAGTACCAAAATTGATGAAATTCCATTTAAATGCAGATACAGAATATGTATTTATCTCAATACCCCTAAACAGCCCAATTACCTATGCTCGTAGTGGTACCAACAATCAATACGAAACTAACGATTTTAAATTGGCTCACTACTTGACTAGCCTATTGGTCCCAAGCAAACGATTAACGTATCCCATTCTAGTCTAAATTCTAGTACTACACAATTTTTGTTTTGATTCGCTATGAAAGTATGACAGATAAAATGAGGGGTTAGTGGATTTTCCTATGTTTCGAGGGGTGAATCGATTAGCTTGGGACCGAAGATAGTATCAGAGCTGAGCCAAAAAGTTGAGCACGTTTCTTCGGGACCTTCTAGTCATAGAGTTACCTCTATGGTGGTACCATAGAGGTAACACTAAGACTAGAAGGTCCCGAAATAACGTGCTAAACTTTTTGACTCAGCTCTGGTACTCTCTTCGGTCCCAACCTAATCGATTCACCCCTCGAAACATAGGAAAGTCCACTAACCCCTCATTTTATCTATCAAATTTTCATAGCGAATCAAAACAAACATTGCGTAGTACTGGAATTTCGACTAGAATGGGGTACGTTAATCGTTTGCTTGGGACCAATAGGCTAGTCAAGTAGTGAGCCAATTTAAAATCGTTAGTTTCGTATTGATTGTTGGTGGTACCACCGACGAACCGACATTACACTTAATTATGACTTATACCCGAAAATCGTAAACGGCCGATTTAAATGAGCAGTGATCCGAACTGTCAAACAAAACCATAGGATTTTAGATAAAAATACTTTATCCAGAATAGATCAGGCACGAATCAATTCATAACTTTATGTTTGTAAAATATGTAACACATACTATATAAAAACGATATACGATATCAACGGAAATACCCTAAGCTACGATATGGAACCAATGTTTCTAATTTGATTTGATTTGAAATTTAATCTTTACATAATACTATCAAAGTTGCCCGCATTATCAAAGATACCCCGTTTTACGGTACTCAAACGGATAATCTACCTTTGTGGCTCTTGGAAACAACAAACTCACCTAATAATAAACAACGCCCGCACGGTTTGTGCCAACTCCGGGTCGTCCTTGTCCTTGTCGTCCAACATTCCAAACTTCACCGCTAGGTCACGCGTCGGATCCGCAACGATCGGATAGGGAAAGTTCCCAATGATATCCGGACAATACGATTTAATATCCTACACAGCAATGCCACACACCCATTACAATAATTGAAAACTAAAGCCACTTCAACTCAACACACTCACATTGACCCAGTCGACATGGCACTTGAGATCATCAACGGAATGAGCCAGAATTTTCACATTTCGCTTCTCAAAGTGCTCCCGGTGGACGGCGATCCGTCCCAGCTCGGTCGTACAGACCGGAGTGAAGTCCGCCGGATGCGAAAACAGGACACACCACCTGAAGTTTAATGTTACCGTTAAACATACACTTACAATAATGAACAGAAAAATCTAATCACTAACGAATCACCGAGCCACTCGTAGAAGTCGATCGGACCCTTGGTCGTATCGGCCTTGAAATTGGGAATAGTAGCTCCAATGCGCATTTTGAGCAGTAAAAGATTCAACACTGAGTTCAACACTTCCAGACAGAACGCCAACGAACGACTGAGCGGAACTGGTTGAGTGTGGCTTTAATTTAACTAGAGATAGCGCTGATGGATTACAATTGCAAGGCAAGCGCAACAAGATCGTCGTTGAACCAGACCTCGAAACTATACGCAGCTTGCTCAGATTTCCTTTGCGAGTGTGAATGTAGGTAGGTAGGTAGGTATATAATCCATGTAATCCATACTACCAACTCAAACCGTCGTAAGGATGACGATTGTTTTATTATCATCTCACTTCACTTTAGAGAATAGTGTACTTGACTGTATGATTTGATTTACTAATGTAAGCTACGGGAGAGCACCTACACTCGTTTTTAAGTTGTTTTTTATATACTCCTCATTATTTATTTAAAAAAAAATAAAAAATCAAAACAAATGCTCAAACCTGTGTCAAATTATTACTACAATTAAGTTGAAAGAAATATTGAAAGAGTCAAGCAGTTATTAGATTCATAACTGACTTCATATCCTGCTGCATACACTCAAAAAAGCCCACACATCTGATCGAATTGTTTAAACACTTGACCTTTCAAATGCGCAATCATGTTTATTTTAATTGTATTTCACCATGCTTCAATGTGTTACACACGTTGATTTGTAGTGTTTCAAACTTTGAAATGTAGAAAATTGCACATTTGCACATCACACTACTGTCCAAAACACATGGATTTGTTCGGATGTGTTTTGCATTTCGATGCCATGTGACTTGCTTGTTCTGAAAGGCAAACAGCGAAATTAGGAGATGTGATTTCAGACTTATCAATCAGCCTCAGCTGATCAGATAACACCAGCAGCCAGGCATGGAAAATCATTTACATTCATTTGCCTCTAACTTTTTTCATCAACAGCATTCCGCAAAATGATGTATAGCACTTTTGTATGTTTTGTTATTAGCTACAACTTGCCCATAACTCAAATCTGTATCTCTTATGCCTCACGAACTAGAACAGGCAGAAGTTGTTACTGTTTTTCAGTGAATGTAAAATACATTCACTGAAAAACATTAGTGGCTTCTGTTCGCTCTGGTTCGTCATGCATAAGAGATACGGATTTGACTTGTTGACAAAAGTTATACACTAATAACAAAGCCTACAAAAATTGCATACATCATTTTGCGGAATTCTGTTGATGAAAAAAGTTAGGGACAAATGAATGTAAATTGATGCACGAAATGAATGCACATGATTTTCCATGCCTGGCAGCAGCACACCCCAGAATCGAATCCAAACACAGATTCATTGAAAAAATACATATATACACGCTATTTCAAAACTACCAAAATTTGGGTAGAATCCACCCAGATCGGTAAAACTTGAACCTACCCAAAAATGGGTAAACTGTTGGTTCCCGGTCTATGAGCTGATGGGTCGATATTATAGTCGCTATATTCATAGTCTGGCGGATAGAATTTCGATCTATCAAAAAGCGGAACCAATTCAATATATTTTAGACCAACAATTGAAAAGGTACTATCAACTTTCATAACCAAACCGTTGATTATTCTTTCCTCGCCGATCGAACGCAAATTACCAGCATCATCAGATAGGGGAAACTTTGCCCAATCCGAAGATGGTGTTAGTTTGCGTAGGCGAGCCTTGAGTCACGAGAAAAGGGTTTATGCAGTTTTGTTCGCAATAGCTTATGTGCTCTTTTCTGTTGTTGATCGTAATTTGCTCGATTGGTTCCGCTATTTGACAGCTCAATTGGTTCCCGAGATTCTATCCGCCAGACTATGAATATAGCGACTATAGTCGATATTGTTGCAGTGTAGCGGCAATAGCGTGAATACGCCCTTTACGAATGTACATGCAGAGAAAAAGAATCGCAGTTAATTTTGTTAAAACAAAAATGTTCTTTCTTTGTTTGTTGATTAATAAACACGTTTCAAAACAGTTCTCGCGATTTATACGTTTTTTAATTCCGCGTTACATATCCGTTTTTCACTGCATTTACCGGTGTTTTGCCCCCTGTCCGCCCACAGGTTATGGGCCCAGTGAAAGTTCCGCGGATTAGTTGAAATTCGGTCGTAAAATTGCGAAAGTTTCCGGTAGTTCCCGTAGCCAGAAGGCGGTGTTCCCGTGAGCGGATGAGGAGAAAGGAAGATGGCGGACCAGCAGCGTTTCCCGCTCCCGAAGCTTACGAACCACAACTACCAATCCTGGAAATTTCGGATGGAAATGTTGTTGGTTCGGGAGGATTTATGGCACGTCATCAGTAAGCCAAGGCCGGCTGTAATTACGGAAGACGATGATTGGACCAAGGCGGATTTGAAGGCTCGCGCGACGATTGGGCTGTGCATAGATGACAGCCAGACTAGCTTGGTGAGAAGCTGCACCAGTGCCAAGGATGCATGGAAAGCCCTTAAGGATTACCACGACAAGGGATCGGAGGTGTACTTGCTCAAGAAGCTGACGCATTTGGAGCTGAGCGAAGATGGAGACATGGAGCAACGCTTGCAGCAGTTTACCGACCTGTTGCAGCGTATTGCGGATGTCGGCGATCCAATCCCGGACAAGTTGAAGGTGGCGATGTTGCTTTGTTCATTGCCGGATTCGTTCGATGCTTTAGTGACAGCTCTCGAGCAACGTCCTAGTGCCGAGCTAACTTTGGAATTAGTTAAATCCAAACTACTTTCCGAAGCCGAGAAACGACGCGAACGTTCCGGACCAGCTGCTGCTGCAGGAGGAAAAGCGCTGAAGGTGGAATATCGTCACCAGCCTCGTCGGCAGCAACGGAGCGATGGCGGTGCTAGTGGAAGTTAAGAGATACGGATTTGCTTCCACTGCAAGAAACCTGGTCATCTGAAACGAAACTGTCGGAGTCTGCAGAAAGCCACCGGGAAGAAGCAGGATGAAGCTACAGCGAGCCAGCCGAAGAGGGAAGACGCAACAAAGGCGAAGCAGGTGCAAAACGTTTCCGACGGCCCGCTTGCTTGGATTGCTGGGAATGCAAAACATGGAAGCTGGTTTGTGGACAGCGGAGCCTACAAGCACATGACGGGAAGAAGAAGTTTCTTCGAATCTCTACAGGAGCAGCAGGGAATGAGCGTGATGCTGGCGAACGGTGAAAAGGCAGCCGTCGAAGGCATAGGCAGCGGGAAGATTACCGGAGTGAAGGTAGACGCATGTCCGGTGGATATTGTGTTGTCTGACGTGCTGTATGTTCCGAAATTAGCAAGTGGATTGATTTCGGTGAGTACCCTCGCAAATAACTGCTTCTGTGTGCTGTTTGGTGAAAACGGCTGTGAGATCCGCAAAACCGGTGCTGACATTGCGGTTGTGGCCGATCGTTGCGGTAGTCTCTACAAGTTACGGGTTCCCAATCAAGCGATGGTGAGCGTCCAGCTGTCCCACACGCTCAACTGCCAGCATACGTGGCACCGACGGCTCGGCCATCGGGACCCGGACGTGATCAAGGCAATCCACAGGAACGGCACAGCTGAAGGTATGAAGTTGGTCGATTGTGAAGTGCGAACGGTGTGCCAGTGCTGTTTGGAGGGGAAAATGTCCCGGACCCCGTTTTCAAATGCTGTCAACCGTGGTTCGAAGGAGATTTTGGATGTCATCCATAGTGACGTCAGTGGTCCATTGGTTGCTACTCCCAGCGGCAATCAATACTTCCTGACCTTCATCGACGATCATTCTCGCATGGCCTTCGTGTACCTGTTGCGGAGAAAATCGGAGGTCGCTGAGAAGGTGAAGGATTTCGTTCGTTTCTGCAAAACTCAAGTCGGGAAAACTCCTCGTGTGCTGCAGTCAGACGGTGGCGGAGAATATGTCGCGAAGGAACTGCAGGGATTCCTGAGAAGCGAAGGGATAATCAGCCAGCTGACTGCTCCGTACTCCCCGCAGCAGAATGGGGTGGCGGAGAGACGGAATCGCTATCTCAAAGAAATGACGATGTGCATGTTATTGGAAGCCGGCTTGGAGATGAAATACTGGGGCGAGGCAGTGTTGACCGTTACCCATATTCAAAATCGATTGCCATCACGAGTCCCTACGAACGATGGTACGGTCGTAAACCTTCATTCGAACATCTGCGAATCTTCGGTAGTGAAGCCTGGGTGCAGATTCCAACGGAAACGCGGAAGAAGATGGAGGTAAAAGCCCGCAAGATGGTTTTCGTCGGATACTCCAATCAACAGAGAGCTTACCGTTTTCTCGATAAGGACAGCGGAAGGATAACGATAAGCCGGGACGTTCGTTTCTTGGAAGATCTAGATTTTGGTGCGAAGCAGGCATCGGGAAAGCCCGAGCAGGAATCTGAAACGGAGAATTCGACGGTTGAATTGGACCCGTTGCCGAAGCCGAAAGTTGTCAACAATCCTGAAGATAACGAAGAAGAGTTCCTGGGGTACGAATCTGCCGAGGAAGAATTTTACGGTGAAGAACAAAGCGACTACGAAGAAGGTGATACCGAGCAAGAAGATGTTCCTCAACCGGAGCCAAGACAAATGCCGCCACGTTCATCCCGTGGAGCGTTGCCAGCGAGGTTCAGTGACTACGTGATGGGAATGGTAGCGACGGAACCGGATGAACCGGTGACTTTCAAGGAAGCGGTCAACGGTGTCGATAAGCAGGAGTGGATCAATGCGATGACGGAGGAGTATCGTTCGTTGATGTCCAACGAAACTTGGGGGCTTGTGGACCCCCCAGAGAAGCGAAACATCATAGGAAGCAAGTGGGTTTACAAGCGGAAGCTTGACTCTGACGGCAACGTGGACAGGTTCAAAGCGAGACTCGTCGCTCAGGGATTTCCCAGCGTTTTGGTTCAGATTACGACGAGATCTTCGCTCCAGTGGCGCAGCAGTGTACTTTCCGCGTACTTCTGGCTGTCGCGGGCCAGCGTGGCTGGATCGTCAAACATCTGGACGTTAAAACGGCCTATTTATACGGCACGTTGCGAGAAGAAATCTACATGAGACAGCCACCAGGGTTTGTCGTCAAAGGAAGAGAGCATCAGGTTTGTAGGTTGCATAAAAGTATTTACGGCCTCAAACAAGCGGCCAGGGTTTGGCATATGACAATTACCGA